CCACTCAATGTCAAAGTCACTCCCGCTTCTCCGGCCGTGTACATCCACCGACGGTCTTCCATCCTTCCACATATACAAGCACATAGTAATGTAACCATCAATTGCATCTACGCGGTGTTCCTACTCTCTAATAGGTGAGGATAGGTCCTAATCCCACCAGCGGATGCGTAGATGAGGTTAGTTTCATGCTCGCTCCCTAATCGAGGCAGAATTTTGGCAAGACTCCCCACCGTTTCTCCCGATGCACGTCCCGCAAGGGAGAGTGTATCCGAGAACAACAGGGGTGATGCCGAAACACCATCTCGCATCGGAGCGGACCATGGAAACTAACACATCTACGCATCCGCTGGCTGTCAAAAATGTGGACAATCCGAAGCAGATACGGTCATGAGATATACAAAGATCAGTATACCTCCAATCTGTATCTCTTTTTGGACGGAGACACCTAACTAGGTTCTGTGACCAAAGACCACATACGGATAGAGGGGTTATACCTAGGGTGCCGGTGAGGTCAGGGGTGGTAGGGCGGTGGTGGAGTCAGTCAGTGGCAAGTCGACGCGGTGCGTGAAGACCCGCAATGCCGACGAAGAGGCGATCGTGGTCGCTGAGTCCCTCCCACAGGTCCTCCCGCAAAAAGGGCAAAATGGTTAGTGTCGACTCAAAATTTCAAGCACCTCCCCTGCTGGGAGGTTCCCAAAACTGCAAAAACATGGCACAAAGGCCAACAACCACATATATACCAAACATGGGCACGAAGGCCAACAACCACCAATATATCAAGAGGAGCCATGTACTTTAGTTCTCTTTCCATGCAGATGAAAGTATTGAAGTAGTACAACAACAATTACTACTAACCCTACAACTACTACTAACAACTACTTAACTGCTAACAGTACTAATACTAAGAACTACTTAACTATTAACAACTACTACTACTAACCACTACTACTTACTAACTACTACTATTTACTAACTACTACTACTAAGCCTACAACTAACACTACTAACAACCACTACTACTTACTAACTACTACTATTTACTAACTACTACTACTACTACTAACCCTACAACTAACACTACTAACTACTAGAACTAACACTACAACTAACACTACTAACTACTACTACTAACACTACAACTAACTACTACTAACACTACTAACTACTACTACTACTAACACTACAAGGGTAGGGCTTACCTTGGCGGCAAGAATGGCAAGAGTGAGGGCCGACGACGACGGCGGGGATGACCGCAGTAGCGCGAGGATCAACGTGGTGGTCGGGCAGGATCGAGGATCGACAGGCGGTCGGGTCGGCACCTTCCTCTTCTTCCTCCTCCCCTTCTCTTTCTTCCTCTTGCCCTCTCCTTCTCCCTCTCGCTGGCCGGCCCTTGAGGCACAGGGTGGCCCGGTGGAGCTCGGGGGGTGGGGAGCTTCGGGGCCAGGCTGGTCGTTGTCCCCGGGAGCTCAGAGTCTGGGCGCCCGACGAGCTGGGGCGGCCGGGGACCAGGGGCAGGGCCGCCTGGGAACCTGGCGTGGGTCCGCCAAAGCGTGGTCTTGAGCGGGCCACCGTGTGGTCTTGTGGGGCAGCTGGGCGCGAGTGCAAAAGGCCAGCTTGGGCTGGTATGAAGCCCTGGCCTTGGGTTAAGGGAGGCCTTGTAAAGGCCAGGCGAAGGCCGCACGGGACGAGGCGGGGGCGATGAGGGGGGGCAGAGGCGTGGGCGGGCAGTGAGGTCCCGCCGGGGGGGGACGACAATGGGGTCGGTGGCGGCGATGGCGATGACGACGCGAGGGGCGGGTGGGAGATTTGAGTGAGGAGGGTGGGGTTGGGCCGGCCCATTCTGGGCCTTTAGGTTAAAAGATTTGCCGAGTGCCAGGCCTAGCGGCACTCGGCAAAGGTTTTTTTTTATTTTTTTTTAAAAAAAATTCTTTGCCGAGCGCCCTGTGACCTGGCGCTCGGCAAATGCTTCTTTGCCGAGTGCCAAGGTTGGCACTCGGCAAATTATTTTTTTGTTTTTTTCGCCCCATTTTTTTGGGGGCCTTGCTACAGTAATTAAAAGTCCATTTCAAAATTTGGGACAATTTTTAGTTTTGTTTTGTTGAATTTTTCCGACTATTTCAAATTTGAACTGCAAGTGCATGGAATATTGTAATCTAGTGCTTCGAAAAATGTTATCCATGGTATTTGGTGTATGTTGAGTCTCTATCCACGAACTCGCAATAAATTTCGCGCATCTTCTTCAAGTAACGTGACGAGCCACTTGCCGGAAAAGTGTTTTAAAATTATATAAAGTCCATACGAAGTCCGAAAATCACGAAACTTGTTGAGGTGTCATGTTATCGCATGTGTAGGCTGTGGTAAAAAAATGAGAATGTTTTGAACAAGTTGCGACATCAGATGCATAAAACACAGACATCTCGTTGGATGAAGTGTATAGCTTAGATTGTCCTGAATGATTAAATGGCCGGTGTATTTCGTTAGTGCTTCTCCTTGGTGGTGAAAATATCTGGAGTGCTATGCAAAATTTGATTTTTAAACCTACTTCCCAGTTTGCTTCGATTTACCGAATAAATTGAGGTTATAGTCACAAACAGGAGCCGAAATAATTTCACTTGCAAAACCATGCGCCGTCTCTAGTTACTCTTCGATTTAAGAGGCACAGTTTTGCTGGATAGGACCTCTTACGCTTAGCAGTCAATTTTTATGCGTTAGCCTTTTTTCCCAGTGGTAGACCCACCAGTTTTAAGTCTTGATCTGCACTCGCCACCAGCATGCCCACGGGTGGATCCAAAGCCCCCCCTATTTGCTAGAGCCCCATGTAGTGACCAGAGAGGCAGGAGTGGAGGAGAGGGAGGAAAAGGGAGACGAAGAGAAAGAAGAGGCTAAAGAAAGAAAGCTTCAACACCGTACGTGACACATGCTTCAAATGGCCTGTTCGTTTGTTGGTTTCAGCCAGTGCAAATCAGTCAGTCAACAGTGTTTTTCTCTCACAATAAACTAGCACCAACCAGCCCAAAGCAGCCCAGAAACCAACCAGCGAACAGGCCGAAAAGATGAGTTGGTCATTCATCGCTCTCCTTCCATGTGGGCACGAAAAGTCCACCACCTTTTTTGAGGTAAATTCCGAAATGAACGAATGTTTGGCGTTTTCTGGAGCAATTTTCTCTAACTAGTTATGTTATATAACATTGGTTTGCTAGGAATGTGCCCTTACTATTGGACTTTGCCCCATATGCGGAAAACTTTTATGTCTTCAAGTTCAACTGACGAGCTACCGCCGCCGCCTTCTGCATTTCGGCGAGCTCCGCTACCGACCCGGCGTCTTATGTATACACCAAAATAGAATTACATGTATGTATTTGAGCGCAGGAGCGGAGCCAAGGAGGCCATGCCCCCCTAACAGTACAAACTTTTTTTATATCATATATATATATACTTTAATAGCCTAAGTTTATATTAAAAAGGGTATAATAAATAAAAACTTGTTATATAGGTCTATTGATATCTTCTAGACAACAAAATCGTATAAACATAATTAAAATAATATACTTCAATTTATCCAAATTTGTTTGCCTGCATGATAGATAGGTCATATTTATTGAGTTTTTTTTGCTTTACTAAATACTTATGTTTCATTATATTTTATGTTTTGCTGAATGCGTACTTAGTTAGCAATAACAATTCGGTGATCGTCTTTTTTTTATTGTGAATCGTAGTACAGACGCAGATGCTCCAATATGGTCACTTCCGAAATACTAAGCCAGCACATTTCAAGATTCATGAGTCATTACATGCGCCCCGTTGTCGACAGACATGGTCACCTACCACGGGTACGAGCACTTCCAAAATAATAAGCCGATAGATTTCAAGATTCATGAGTCATCATATGCGCCCTATTGTTCAAAGACACAGTCGTGTACCACGGAAAGAATAGCGAGCATGGTTAAATCGTTAAATAATAGGATAAAACCAGAACAGTAGAGGCTAACCCCGGTGTAAAAATCTAAACAAATATGCTACACTCAGTTCACTTAGTCGAAACTCTTTGTCTGCACCCCCCGGCACAATTCCTGCCCCGCCGCTGTTTGAGCATCTGCCTATGCAAAAACAAATTCTTTGTAGTGCTAGCACAATTTTTTTTTCTATCCCTTTTTTAGAGTAAAAAGGGATTTTATTTCTTCTGCTGATTAAGTTGGGGTCTATTTATCAACATCCTGGCAGTGGCAGTCCCCTTGCTCGAGCATGCTTCGTTTCGCTTTGCTTGTAGTATTCGCGCATATTTGGATCAACGTTTTCTAACCTCCAGGCTAAGACAGTGCTTAATAGTGTCATGAATTCAAATTGTAAACAAAACTAGAACCATAAATACTGTAGTGGCCGATCATGTAATGAATGACCATGTAGTATGGCTGCACAGAACCATAAGAACCACGATGGCCGCCGTGCTATCAGCACTATCAGGACATAGAAGATTTGTGGTTGTTTCGTAATTTGTGCTATGTTTCTGTGGGTGATATTCTTGGTATATTTGTGATGGTAACAATGGTTATATATATAAATGCCTATGCTTAGATCTCAGCGATATAAAGCCATGCTTATCAAGAGTGGGCACTGCTAGATTCTGTTCTCTGGTCTTTTTAAGTCACTGCAGCGTCGTCTTCCCTGTTCTCTTTGTCCTCGGACGCGTCCGAGAAAAACCTGTCAAGCTAACACTGGACGGCCAACGCACCAAACACAGACCTAATCAGTTTATCAATCATCAGCAGTTCAGCACGGCCCATTCATTCACTCCACTCGGGCGCCAAAAACATTTGCCGTTAAATAACCCGCGCCGCTCGCATTATTGTGGCAGCCACCACCAGGCAGTTCCGAGCTAGCTTAGCTTCGCCCGGTTGCCTCCCACTCCCACGCCTTGCTTACAAGCCAAAGCCTCGGCCTTAGTCTTTCTCCTCCCGTGCTCGTCCCTCGGCTCCAGTGCGGTGCTCCACCGTACCACACCAATGGAGGCTCCGCTCCTCCTCCCCATCTCCACCGCCTCATCCTGCGTCGACATCACCACCGCCGACGCCGCGCCATCGGGCCGTGACGGCCGTCCGGCGCCCTCCTCCTCCCCTTCCACGCAGAGCATCGTCCTCCGCCTGGCGGCCGTGATCACCGTCGCGTGCGCGTCCCTGTTCGCGCAGCACGAGGCCGGCAAGGGCTTCGCCGTCGCCGTTGCGAACGACGCGCCGCGGGGCAGCGCCGTGGGGCGGCGGTTCGACCTGCTCTTCGTGTCCAACGGCCGCGCCGAGCGCGCCCTGCTGCACGCCAGCCGCGGCGTGGAGCGCGCGCTGTTCCCGGACCCGTCGTTCCCGCGCAGGCAGGTCCGCCGCGTCACCGTCCGGATGGCCGGGAGCAACCTCACCGCGGGCGCCACGGTGCACGCCGCGGCTCCAGGGGAGTACGTCGTCACCCTGAGCCCCAGTCTCGTCGCGTCGACCTCCGCCGGCTCCGCCGCCGACGCCGCGCTGCGCCGCGCCGTCGCGCGCATGTGGCTCTGGGACGGCCGTGGCGCCGCCCCCGCGCGCGTCACCGAGTCCATGGTCGAGTACCTCGCCTCCGTCGCGGTGGCCTGCGATGGCGCCGAGGCCGAGGCGGCGGCGACACCTCTGTCGGACGAGGACGGGCACGGGTGCAGCATGTCGGCGCGGCTCCTGAGGCACCTGGAGGCGCGGCGTGAGGGCTTCGTGGCGCGGCTGAACCGCGCGATGAAGGACCGGTGGAGCGACGCCGCCGTGGACGCGGCGCTCGGCGCGCCGGCACGGCTCACCTGCGCAGGGGCGACGACGACGACGCCATTGACCGGTCAGGACGACCCCACCGCCGCCGCCTCCGCGGCGCTGGCTGGCTCCGGCTCCACGTCGGACGCCGCCCGTGGGTCCAGCGTGGCAATGTGAGGCTGGGAGGCAAGGGCAGTTCTGGGGTGCCCATGCGCGCCACGTGCCCGGTGTATGGATGTGTATATTAAAGTAAAGGGAATCCCCGCCATTAGCGCCGGCTAATCTCGCCGGGTGGGCCATGGCCGCGGCCCTAATGGTGGCTGGAGGTGAGTGAGTGGTCGCTGTCATGCATGGTACCTCGTAGTTTCATTTCATATGCGCTAGTGTAGAGATGCTTGAGCTCCAGAGTTGCTTGTAAATGGTGGTAGTAGTACTACAAAAAATATGGTTAAATGTCATACCAAACGTGATGTGAGAAGTAGATTTTTGTTGGTGACGTGGATGAACATGGTAGTTGATAATGATACGAAGAAGGTTCTAGGCTCCTGAGTCCTGATCTGTGGCTGAGCAAAACGCAGGGGCCGGCCCCAGGCGCTGGCGATGCGTTCTATCGATCGCTGTCAATGATGCTCTCGCGTATATATACGGCATGTTGCGTATATGTTAGTTGGTTTCTGGACCGATAAGTCTGGCTGATGCTGGTTTGTTATGAGAGAAAAACATTGTTGGTTGATTGATAAGCCCTGACCCAAACCAACGAGCGAAAAGACTGATAATATTTATTTATTTTATATATGAATGTGATCTGTCCATGGCTAGTGGTTCCAGCATGTAGGATTGCAGTTGTGCAGTGATTGATCCCAGAAACTGATCAGGTCGATCCGTGTGAGGGTAGGTTGGAGTCGCCTCAGCTGTGAATTTGTGATCCACAGAAACACCGACCAAATCAAGCCATCCAGATTGGCCAAAAAGACAAACTTTGAGTTTCATGTTCAGCCTAAAAATTTAAACTTATTTCAAAAGGTGGGAAATTGAAGTTCAGCGCTCCACCTCGAGCGACAAGATTTTGCACAAACTTGGGTTGCCTTGCCATGCCATGGAGAGAGCATGCAGGCAGGTCGCAGTCTGCGCTTGGCTGGTTGCTACCCACCCAGTCATGCATGACTCCAGTTCCCAACGCCTGTTCGCTTTTTTTTTTTTTTCATTATAAGTCGTACTTTTTCAACCTAACGAATATTATTTTTCTTTTATACCAAATAAGTTAATAGTACTTTCAGCCATGCCTTATTAGCCAAACAAACCCAACCGAACCGGGTGAAAGTTTGTTTAGAGCAACTTGCAGCATTTCTTGCGCCGGCTGCACACCGCGCTTTAACGATTAGTTGTGGGCACCCGAGTCAGCCGCCATGTGGAATTCTGGATCAGAAAGGAACAGCGACAATAATACTACATACACAAAGAGTACGTGCATTATTGCTGAATCCAACCACTGCTTACGACAAAGATAAACCACATTGTATTATTGAACAGAGCAAGAGAAAAGATTGTTGGTTCAGGTTCAGGGAACTTTTTGGGATATAGGTGGGTGATGGTCCCAAAAGGGAAGGAGGCTCCTGCTCACCTCGCTGGAAAAAGTTCAGAGCTCTGAACGTGACTGCCGATCCATTCTGTTCCGTTTCTTCAGAAACGAGTGCTGAACTTATCGCAGCTTCTGACATCAAATGTGCGCCTTTTTTTCTTTCCAAGAACGCCGATGTGCGTCGTAGCCTGAAGAACGTGCAGCTAGCTTTGCAGCCTTCCGACGTTGAACTCTCTGAAAACCACGGCCAAGTGGACTCTATGTATTATGTATGTCACTTTGTCTTCTCTCCGTGTGTTTGACTTCGACAGCATTAGCTTGCTGTTTGTATGAACTTCATATGAGCTGTTCGTAGTTCCTTCATCCTCCATCTTCGTCAGTTTCTTATACGGCAACCAACTTCGTGCTTCTCCATTCTCCATTGCTCTTCAGTTTCTCTGTTCTTATTATACAGAGCAACTTGCGTGTCTTGTATTGTACATAGAGCAAACGGAATACAGACATGCGGTCAATGGCTCCATACATGTCACGCGAAAGGAATCTGAATGAGAATAAACAACAGCAATAATGCAAGCACGCCGGAGGACATGATTGGAGCAAAATACATTTATACAAGAGTCCATTTTCATATTGAAAATTGAAACAAAAGGAAGAGGTGTGCAAGATAGATAGATGTTGTGAACCAATGGGGATGGGATGGTTTTGAATTTCGATAATGTGCACCACTTGCGCTGAGTTAGTCCATCCCGTCAGACTCAGGTTTGGGATAATGTGAACCAAGTTTCGCCGCTATCTGTTGTAGATCTTAGAATTTTGCAGACCTGGACGTGAAGTCTCTGAAAACTGCTTGTAAGAGGCTGTGAGCCTTGGGGGAAAAACTGCCGTGCACTTTTTCCTCCCCGGTCATCAGTGTTGCCCACGCTGGTACGCAAGAGTTCTTGGCTATGGATGATTCAGCAAACAGTGATGAGCGACTCATCAGTGCAGCATATGTAGGAGTAGTAGTAGCCGGGGTCCCAACTCCCAATTGTCAAGCATGCTGTCAATCAGATTCAGATCAGCAGCTCAACAAGTGGACTGATGACCACCCTCGCTCCAATTGCTGTCTGCCAACTCTGCAATCTTGTCCTGAATGAAACCAGCGTCACCTGCCGCTAACACCAACCGAACCGCCGCTTGTGTTGTTGCAAGATGGTTGGCCATGAGTGTTCAAGAGGCAACAGTATAAGCCAAATCATGAAGCACTAATGTAAAAAAAAAAAAATCTTACTGAAATAGGGTAATAAGTACTACTATCCAATTAGCAGGCAGCAAACACCTGAAGCAATGCAAAGCTCAACATCTCTTCCTCGCTGCAAGCACATGGCTTGTCAGCATGCATTCCTACAAGCACCCACCACAGTGCATGTCCTAACTGCATTCTCGGTGCCACATAGATTATGTCCTTATTTTTGGATGTAATAAAAACTATTGAATGAGAAGCCAAAGCTTCAGAAAGAAAAACGGATTCCAGGGTGGACTTTCCAATCTTCCAAACACTGTTCGCGAAAAAAATCTTCCAAACACAACAGCAGCTGCAATATTACACTAGTTTTTAAATTAACATAAAAAATACTAGTGTGGTTTTTAAAACTACCAGATTTGACACCAAGTAGACATTGTAACCCAAATTTATTTACAAAACTGTAGTCGTTTTTTCCCCCTAAACTAAGAGACTTATCTAGGCAGGATTAAGACTTCATGGGCTTATCCGAACTTATCCTACTAGTACGCTTTTCTGCATTGGTCTGCCATTCCTTTTCGTTTCTCACGAAAACTGAATGGCCTGCTGTCTTCTCCTGTAGCAAGAGCCAACAGTATAAGCCAAATCATTATTGGCTGGGATGGAGCCGAGTAAAGGATGAATTATTGGCTCGTGCAGTTGCTCGCTGAGCCTGAAGCCGACAGATGCAGGATTGAAAGGTTCTGAACTGACCGGAGGTAGGGCCGATACGAACACTGGCCATTCATCCTACTCCTTCGCAAGTTCAGGGTCAAAAAGCGCTATCCTTTTTCTTCCCGAAGCCGGGATGGATGGCTATAGGTTAGTTCCAGTTCGGCAGTTCCAACCTCCAACAACTACTGTTGTGAGCTGGATAGCGAACTGGGCCGCGGTGCAGAGAAAGCCAGCGAGCTGTTTCCTCCGCAGGGCCCGTGCCAAACTCCTGTCGCGGTCGCCGGTGCCGGCCCAAGCTTGCTTTCAGCTCCAGCTTACCTCGACAGACGTTTGAGAGAATCGAGGTTGGAATGGATGACTGAACTCGAGCTGTGGCTGTCGAGTAACTGAGTGAGTGGAAGTCAGTTCTGCTTCTGCAGAGCAAAAGTTTCACTTGCCATGCTCGCTACTGCTGGTTTTGCTTTCCGTTTTCAGAATACCATACCAGGAGCAATCGGCGACATCGCCACCAGATGGTTTTGCTTTTTTTTTTTTGCATTGCGTGTGAATTGCCGTGGAAATAGTAGCGGTCCCGTTCATGGAACCAGGAGAGTATGGGCACGGTGTCAATCGGTTGAGCAAGTGGTTGTATGTATGCCGAAGTGGCTGGGCCCTTGGGCTATCGTCTGCCGACTCCCGTCATCTCCAACAGTTGCTGCAACCACGTCTCTCACTTGGTTGAGAACTGAATTTACTACTTTCTCTTCGTTCTAGATTATAAAACATTTTAGCTTTTTTTCTAAATATACATTGTTTTTACTATATATCTAAATATGTGTATATCTAAGTACACGGTAAAAACTATGTATCTAAAAATCAAAACATCAATAATTTGGAACGGAGGGAGGAAGGAGTATGTAGTAATATATTCTGAATTCTTTTGCTTGTGGGTTTGGGCGTTTGGCGAGCTTATCAATGATGAGTTACCCTGGCCTGCTTTGGGCAATTGGGCTCATGGAGAGTCTAAGGAATGGCTTTGCTTCAAAGGCTCAAAAAAAAGCCCAATCAAAGAGGCTACTTTTGGATGAATTTTTCGTAAGTGGTTTGCAGAGTTCATTTTTAAAATGGTTGACCACGCTTTTGGCTTTTCAAATTGGTGGAATAAAAAGCTCTTCCATAGTTGTTTCAAGAGAGATAAAGATAAAAGATATATTTTATACTTGTTTAACTAAAAGCGACTTTCAATTTTTCTACTCTTAGCATCAGTGCAATTTTTCCACAAATACATTACCACAATCCTACAGCCACACACAACTCAACCAAACAGGGCCTAAATAATGGTGTTGGCTTCAGTGCACTGAATCGGTTGGTGGTGAAACCCGAGTTCATGCAGCTCTTTCTTCAGGAGGATCGTGGCCGATAAAGCAATCGTATAACGATAGTTTTTGGGCCGAATTGGCAGCCCATGGGCCGTACGCCGTGACCCATAATCAAAGCCCACTAACAACGCTCCTTTCACGGCCAATGAATCAAATCATATAATGATGGTTTTTAGGCCAAATTGGTTAGTAGCCTCATTAAAGTTTAGACGAAGTTGTAGCCCATGGGCTATATGACGTGGCCTGCCTTGTATATGGACATGAAAATTGTAAATAAAAATATTTAGATCTCATGAAATATCTC